CTTGCAGGATCTTGTCTATGAAGTGGTACAATGTAGTAAACACCCTGTTACATATAACAACAGTAACATATACTATTATCCATTTGCACCTTAGTAACTCATCACAGAACACTCTTCCTTCCACCAACAGCTCAGGTTGGTGGAAGAGCAATTATGGTTACTGGATGCTATTTTAAAAGACCAAGCACACCCTTACCTACCATGCTATAAACATACCAGCATCACCTTAAAATTGCATGTTTTACAGCCCCAACAAAAACAAGTTACAACTCTCCTTTGCCAGCCATGTAATTTTTTTTTCCCCTTAAGGAGAGAATGGGAGCGAGAAGCTGAATCACTGCAACAATTACTCTAAGTATGCTAGCGTGCAGTTAGCTACTGCCCTGGACACCTCAATCAAAAACATCCTTGTTTTTTACTTTGTAAGACTTAACATCTAAATAAATGAAGATTTCTGTATTTAGCCATTAGGTCAGAAGAGATTTGGCACAGTTTCTTTATAAGCAGAACTACAAATTTCTGCAAGACTTATTTCAAAATAAAACATAACTAAATATTAACTGACTCTAAGTATAATTCACAATAACTTAGAAGGAAGCAACTGAAAAAAACAGGCAATGTTTACCTACCTTTAGAGAGCAATTTTCTGAATTTCTGAGTTGCTGTAAGTTGCTGATCAGGATCATCTGAAAAAATCATCTGTACCATATCTACAGTAATAACTTCTTCCTAAAAATGCAAGGAAGATTTCTTATAGTGTAGTACTATGCACACTAATAGATAACATTCTAAACACACCCTGAAGTATTTACCTCTGGAATAGGAACAGTTGAGCTGACATCAGGATCCTGAATTGGGCTTTCTACCATGGATTCTTCATTTCCCGGGAGAGACACATTTCGACGTTTAAACAGCTGAACAAAGGGGAAATTTTTGGAAGACATGGAAATTTAGGAGTAACCAAAGTGTGGGTACTGATGACATACACCTGAATAAATGCTTTCACCAATACCAGTGAAAGAATTTTACCTACTCAACTTCCTATTCACCCACGCAAGGGGAATTCTATACAAAAGTTTAGATAACATAAAGGGGAAAAACTATTGTATCTGTATCTCAAGAAACTGCACAGCAACTCTTCAGATAGACATTCAGAACTAGATTCTTACTAGTTATAAAGATCCTTAATTTTTTCCACAAGAAAAAGAGGATACAGATCTTTTTGCTTTTAGTCTTTTACCCCTTATAATTAGCATGCATTTTAAACAAAAAAACACTGCAGAACAACTCCATGTTTATATCCATGTCTATTTCAACAGGAACCTTAACCAAGGCATTCCCTCCCCTGTTTGATGCACTTATGGGCTGGGTGTAACTCTGGACACAAAACAACTAGAGAATATTGAATGCAAATGAGGCTTAATTCCATTTAAACCCACAAAGGAACAAGAAACAATATTCCACTTTTGGAGCCATTCTTTCTCAATGCTTAACGAGGACACAGAAGTTCTTGGTTGAAAAGTATAAACTTGCTTGGTCTTTCTGCCAGTCACAATTTCTTCTGGAGCACAAGCAGTCTCATCTCCCTGCATAAACTCATTCTCAGGTCAAGAAGAGCAGAAAAAAACCAGTCCAACAAACTAAGACCAAGCAGACCATAACAGTAGTCTCACGGCTCAAGCAGCATGGGACAGGAAACACCCATTATTTTCATAATTTATCTAGGGAGCATTTACTACAAAATATGTAAACAAAACTTTCAGCAGGAACTGCAATGCATTACCCATTCAGAGATAAGTGCTCCAGTACCTCACCACTTCTGACTCTTACACCTCTGGCCCAAATAATTGAAATTCTTTTTCCATGCACCACTTTCCCAGTAGAAGGGTAAGCATTCCACCTCATAGCAGACTGTAGATCAGAGCCTGGGACACTCTCCAGGTTGTGGGAGACAAAGTCATCCACTTTAGACCAAACAGAAAAACAAACTACCTTCCTTACCCTCCTGGCAAGAAACTACTACACATTCTGCAAAGAGGAACTATGACAAACTATTAAATAATACAATGTTCCACGTACTCTGATCACTAAAAATTCAATGAGAACAACTGCAAATCTTTGTATAATAGCTCAGAGACCCTAACTGATATCCACTTTATTAAGCTGGTGTAGAAGAGCTCTTCGGCAATGTGAAGCATAGTATCAAAGATGAAAATAATCCTCTCCCTTCACACACCAAATTTGACCCCAGCTCTAGCAGAGAATGCAAGGTTTCAAATTCTTACTGCAAATATGAGTGTTCTTTTGGTCTAGTCTCACATGTATAAACCTAGACTATGGATTGATGTTAAAAGTCACAGCTCTCTCCTCTGTGTGTCCTAGTAACTTAAAAGGGCTTCTGTTCACCTTTTTATGATCCTATTGAGAGGTGCCTGGTGCTTCCCACAAATGCAAAGAAAACAGACATTCAACCTGGCATTCCTGAAATTCCTAGATTCCACTCTAGAGGATGAGTCTGCTCAAGTCCTTTCAGACCCCAGAAAATAGCTCCACAGGCACTGAACAGTGAACAGCTCCCCAAGATGCTTACCTGCTCTTCTCTTTTCTGTTTCCGAAGCTGAATTCCTTCCTCCTCTCTTCTCCTGCGCATTTCTTGGGGATTAAGTGCATTATTCTTGTAGCTTTTCATTCTGAAGTTATCTTTAGCTGGGCTTGCCATGTTGTCTATTGAAAAAACACAGAATTACTCCAAAAGGCCACACCTGCCATCTCTTGTACGATGAAAATATCTACAGCAGCCGCTATATATTCCTGCATGTGTTTGCAATATCAAGTTCATCAACAAAAATCTTTAATGCCGAAATCACAGAAAACCTACGCCTAGATAGGCATTTCCAAACTGCAGATTAAACTACAGTTCATCTCAAGAATCAGATGCAGCATTAAAGGGCATAAGCTACTGTAAAAAGAAACTATGCAGCTTACAAGCAAACTGAAAAATGAAAAGCTACTAAAAAGACATGCGGCTAAATTTTGATTCTATCAGCAAGCAAGCAAAAAAATGTCCTTCTTCCTCTCATAAAGATGACACTAAATGTATTACAAATAAACACAAACTCAAGAAGAAAACCTGCAGTAATTACTGCTTCATTTAATACCTTACAGCATTGTTTATTTTCACTATCTCACAAACATAACAGAATCTAAGGGCTATGCTTTTCCTTCTAAACTGTGTGCAGGAAAATAATTTAAGGGTCAGTAGCACCCAGACAGGCATACTCTTTTTCATTTTAAAGTAACAAAATTATTGTCTCATTCCAATTACCAGTTCTTTTAAAGGATTTAGAAGATTAGAATCTGACTGTCAGTTCAGGTATATCAGCTGTGGAAAGATAAAAGTGATAGTTCAACATTCTGTCACCAGAACGATCAAACGGAGTGGAAAAGGCTGTTAATAGCACAGTGCGTTTTTTTAAAGCTAGAACTGCAGCCTTCATCTGACAAACTGTTAAAAACAAGACTCTACACAAACTATCATTCCTCTGGAATTCTTCTACAAGGAGACAACATGTAAACTACAGCTCCTGAGCTATGTAAAATTCTCTGTCAACTTCCATGCTGAGACAATTTGTTTTGGTGTTTTTTGTTTTTGTTTTTTTTTTTTAAACTTTTATCAGGAGTACCAAGGACCACTAAGCAATAAACATAAGCTATGAGAGGAAAACAGACTGCAGACTTAGGCTGACATCAAGGCACCACCACAAGGACTTGGCAGCCTGCTTCACCCAAGTATCTGCTCCACAAGAACTTAAGCAAACTACTGACATCTCTGCACAAGACTAAACGTGCCACTGTCTAAGAAAAATTTCTAGCAACAACCATGCAGCTTTATTTTCCCAACAATGTCACTAGATTATCTAGTCTTAGAACACCATCGCTCTCTTAATCATTCATGCCTTGCTAATTTAGTTGCGCCAATGAAACTGTCAGGCCAAGAAATGGACTGAACAAGAGAAATGCACGTTCAAAGTAACCCAGTCACCACCTCTCTGAAAGTTACAGAAGGTCAGCTGGAAGGAAGGTCCCATCGAAACTGTTTTAAAAAAGAAAAACTGAGAAATTTATAGCTTCCATCCCCCCAGAAGGCTTTGGATATAGACATCATAAGGGGAAGAAGACTGGCAGTCCCTGGTTTCACACCTTCTGCATCTAGATCCAAGCAAACCCGCACTTCTGTGCTACAAAACTACACCCGTTTTAACATTAAATCCCTCCACCCACCACATCCTGCATTGCACCCACTTGTTGTGCATAGCCTAACACCTATCACACTACTTTTTTTTGTTCCTTCTCGTGTACCTAAGGCTCACTAAACACGGCAGCTCGCTGTCCCTCCGCCCCCTCCCCGGCCGGACGCTGCCCACAGGCTTCGCACCGGCCCGGCCCGCACGGACCGAGCAGTCCGGGACCGCCAGGGCTGCCTGACCTGTCAGCCCGAGGCCGGACACACAGCCAGCCTGCCCGGCTACACAGCGACGAGCGGCGCGCTTCACTCTCGTCCCCAGCACAAGCGGTGGAAAGCCCCCTCCACCAGCAGCCAGGCAGGGAAGGGGGAGGATGGCAGAGCCCTCCTGCCTGAGGAACCGCCACCCCGTCCCAGCCCCGACCGAGCTGCCATGCGGGCAGTGCCCCGCCGGAGCCAGCGGCAGACCGGCCTGCACCGGGCACCCCGTCCCACAAGCGGTGCAGCCTCTGCTGCCGCTGCCCCCACCCGCCGGCTCTCAGCGCCTTTCCCTCCTTACCCATCGCGGCGGACACGCCCGGCGCCCGGCGCCGTGCAAACGCGAGCTCGCCGCTCCGGAGCGCTCCGCGCCGGCAGCAGACACCGATGCAAGATGGCGGACGCCGCCCCGCCGCGCGCCGCACTGGTCGGGGGGGGCGGGGCCCGCCCCTCCCAGCAGCCTCTGCGCGGCACGCGCCCGCCCCGGGCTGGAGAACGGCACTTCCCAGCGGGAAGCGCGCGCGCGCGGTCGGGAAGGCGCTGAGGGGGCCGCTCGCCCGTGTCCGCGGCGCCGCCGCCGCCGCCATGGTGCTGTGCGACGTGTGCGGCCGGGCCCTGCCCTCCGAGGCGGCGGCCGGGCGGCACCCGCGGCGCCCGTCCCTGTGCCGCCGCCAGCCCCGCTGCCCGCTCTGCGCCGCCGCCGTGGGCTGCGACGAGCTCCGGCGGCACATGGAGACGGCCCACCCGGAGCCGGGCCCGCCCGGCTGCCGCAGCCCCGGGGCGCCGCCCGAGTGCCCGTTCTGCGGGGAGGCGGCGGGGCGGGAGCTGGAGGAGCACGTCAGGGCGCGGCACGGGCACCTGCTGGGCGCCCCGGGCACGGGTGAGCGGCGCGGGGACGGGCGGGTCTGTCCGCGGGGATCGGGGCTGGCAACGGAGAACCGGCCGGGGGATAAAGTTGCGACGAAGGAAATAGTTATGTATTTAGGTACTGTAGTTTATTCTGGGTGTGGTCAGAATTTTATTTTAACTAACTGGCCGAGTGCTGGTAGTTATTTCAGAAACTTAAAGGTGGCATCTCTGCTGGTGGGTAATAGCCTTTGAAAACTAGCATTTGGAATGTAACAAGCTATATGCATTGACTGGATAAACGATGGTTAGGATGCAAAATGTGCCGGTACAGTCAACCACACTGCAAAATCTGTCATTAAAATGTTTTTCGTAACAAACCCCCCCACCAAGAACACACCCACCCCACTCACAGGTCGTAGCATTGAACAACATTTTACTTCCATGTGTGCAAATAATGCAGAGCTTGAATAATTTACTTGCCTGCATGCCAGTTTCTGCTTTAAAAATAGTTGTATTAAAGTGTTTTGGTTTTTTATGTATTTAACAGGTTTCAGAAGACTGTATTTTGCAGTGTTGTGTTAAATGCTTGTGGTGAATTTAGGTGATCATACCACCAAGTTTTCCTCCAACCCATCATAAACATTTAGCCGGGACAAATGCCTTCCAGAAACTAACACAGAATATCAATTCTTGTGTTTTGTGAACTCAGGAAGGTGCAGATAAATCCTAGGGACCTGCAGTAAAGATGGAGTCAGGCATTTGTCTGTGGTTCCCAGTGACAGAACAACAGGCAGTGGGCACAAGTCAAAGTATGAGGAATGCTATTTGAATGCAAGAACACTTATTTTTACTGTGAAAGTGGTTAAACACTAGAACATGTTCCTCTGGGGAATTTGTGAGGAGTCTATACTTGGAATTATTCAAAAAATGGCTGGGAAAAGCTTTGTAACTTTACCTATACTATGTGGTACCCTCGATAATAATCCTAAAACTGCAAGAAGAACAGTATTTGAGGAGATGTGGGAAGACCAACAAAATAAGAATGACAGCACTTTTTATTCTATCAGGCAAATAGTTGCTGTGTTATTACATGAATGTTAAATTTTTCTGTTAGCAGAACACATCCACTTATTAATGGTTTGATTTTTCAGACTAAGCATTTCTTTATACAAATATTATCATAGCAAATTGTGATCTGTAAGTTAAATGGGGAAAAACTTAATTGAAAGAAGGAAAGTATGTCTTCAATTTTTCATGTATTTAGATACAAATTCTTAAGTGGTGAAGAGAGCAACAGCTGTTTAGAATTTGCTGCCTTTCACTGGGGAATTTCAGTGGCAACATAAACTTCCTTACTGTGTATTTGTTTTAGATTGTGTATCAGTTAGGGGATGATTCTAGCAAAGAACCACAGGAATTGCATTAATCAAGAAACTCAATTTCTTTTTCAGATGCAGGGAATGGTGAACAGCTGTATGAATGTCCTATGTGTAGTCTCACCTGTACAAACATTCAGATTCTTGAAGAACACGTGGATTTACACTTGGAGGAACATAACTTTTCAGAAGGTATGTGAAAGGGTACAGGTTTAATAATACTTGAAAGCATTTGCAGATACTTGCTTGTTGTAGTGTAGAATCTCACTTGAAATGAAAAAAAAGATTTCTGTATTCAAAGGGAATTTGGACGCATGTATAATGAAGTTAACATAGCTAAGGTCCTGTCACTTTCCCAAGTGCTCTACTTAATTACCAGGCTAATAAGGAAATGTTTGTCTATGCATGGTTGCTAAGTAACTGAATGCATGCTAGCCAAAGGAAAAACTTGGAGCAAGACATGTTTAAAAGACAACAGTAATATATTTGTTTTTCTAACTTTATAGAAGGTTTACATAAATGGAGTTTACAGTGGCACGTTCCACTGTGATGAGTTTAGAATTTATAGCTTATGAAAACTTCATTTTTTTTCTCAATTCATTTCTGCAAATACTTTGTTGATTCATTAATCATAGCGTTAAAGTAAAAAATCGAAATTAATTTTATTTTATAACATGGCTAAGCGAATGTTAGCGAATTCCCTATTCAGTTCTCTGATTGTAAATTTTTGTCACTTCATTGTGAGACTGCTAGCAATGGTCCTAGACGCTACTAAGTTGTATTAAAGGAACTGAGACTTCTTGCTAACAGTGAAGTGAAACACAGTAAACAAAAACTGTCTTCTCAGTGCTACAGGTAGGTGCATTATTTGCCAAGTAATTTCTCCAGTAACTGCATGAACTTTGTCCAAGTCAAGAGACTGAGTCTTGGTAGACTGAATGCAGTCAGTCCTGTTCAGCATTCATTGCTAATAGCTCAAAATAATGCAGGGTGCATCTCCTAAAATTAATGCCCAATTGTGTTTATGTATGTCTGCTTAGAAAGGAATCTCTAAAAATTAAGCTGAAACCATTACTATCCTCCTGACCAAGTCACCTCACTTTGAAATGTTGTCCTGGGGTAGGTGGAAACATTAGAGATCTAGAACTGGCTCAGCAACTCCAGACTGAAGAAGATGAATGGCAGAGATCAGAAGAAGAGAAGCGAGAGAGGGAAGAATTTCAAAAGCTACAGGTACACTCTTGTTTCTAAATAGTAAACTTAAAAGCAGTTGTGCCTTGAGAAGCTGAGTATCTTGGAATTGTAATGTCCTGGAATGGTCTTACCAGGTCAGACTGTGCAAGCCACACAGTCTACGTTGAGATAATGGTGCAGGGATGGGTTGGAAGCAAATTCAGTCTCTTGGCAATGCTGAACCTGGCAGAGTGCTGGACGTGGCAGCCTTGAGCTACTTGGCTTTACAGCTTTGAGTGGTGCTGGCTCAGGATGGGGCTGGCTGCTCCCTGTGCTTGCTGTTCTGCTCTCCCTCCACACCTGCTGCCTGTGCTCCAGCCAGCTCTTGTGCTCTGCCTTGCAGTGCAGCCTGGAGCATATTACTTTAGCACCAGAGTGCTAAAGGCTCTGAGCATCCTGGCTGTCCTTTACTGGAATACCATCACCTGCTCCAGGTCCTGCTTCCTTCTGTCTCCCATCTCACAGCCCTGGTAACTCACTTCCCACTCACACTGCCTCCTTGCCAGACTGCCTCTGTGCCGATGGCTCTGACAAGAGGGAGCAGTGGGATGTGTCTGCTCTTCCAGGTGTGGCTTTCCTGGTCCCATATTCATGTTCAGGAATAAAGCTTGGTCTTCAGCTCTAAAATAATTGTAATTCTGAAGTTTTTATGTCTCACAGTTTTTCAAAGTTACTGATAGCGATTTTGAGAGACTGCATGGACAAAAGATGAATTTTAAAAATGTGATTTAAATCATGCACATTCCATCCCTAACAGAGGCAGTATGGCTTGGATAATTCTGGTGGCTTCAAGCAGCAATTTCTAAACAATATGGAAAGAGAAGTTGATAGAGGAAGGATGCAGCCCTTTGAATATCATAAGAGAAAAGCTGACATGATGGAAAGTTTGGCTTCTGGCGTAGATGATGGGAGAACTAAGACATCAGGTAAAGATGTTGAAATTATACAACTAAAACTGTACTTTCTAGAGCTTAGATTGTATTGACGAAACCAATCTTTATATATAATTCTTTATATAATTCATTGTTTAATATTGGCTGTGTCCTAGTTCTAAGCATAATTTTCTAGACCAATCCAAATTGTTACAGTCCTAAAGTCTTAAATAAGGAAATTAAATCATATCTTGGTATATTTTTAATCTGTGTTCTAACTTGCAGGGTGTTTGTTTTGTTGTTTTGGGGTTTTTTTCTGTGGAACTTGGAACCCAGTTGTCTGGTTAATAGATGTATTGTATGTATCAGAAGATGCACATGTTTTATCACAAGCTGTTGCCCTTGACTCCTGTGCTTGATTACTGCTTAGTACTCATTGGTTCCTAATCCAGTGTAGCTGTTCAAACTTGCAGGATCTTTTTGTCTTGTGTCTCTTTTAATTGTTATATTGTGTAAGCTGGTTGCAGGTAAGCACAGTGTTCACCTCATTACAAAGCCCAAGAGAGGACTGGGAGGAGTAGACGTCTACTTGATACATCTTCTCTTAAATGTTTTCTGGTTGGTGCAGAAACACAGGGTAGATGGGTCTTTGTGTCCCTATCAAGAGGCTCCCTTGTCTTTCCAAGACCACAATTCAATCATCTTTGAGCCTATTGCTAGTGGTTCTGGCTTACAAAATATCCACTTGGTTCTTGACAGCTAAAATAAAATGTCTTCTGTGAAACGGATTGCATAGAAATAACACATTTAAAGTTTTCATTCTTGATAATGGTGTAGATTTCAGAGAGGTTCTTAGAAAATTATTTGTGGTGATTATGGAATAATTCTCTTCACAACAACAAGGCTGTGAAAGGGCTTTTAGGGTTTACATATATGAATTGGAGAGAGTATTCCCAAGCATATTTTTTCATGTAACAAAGGAGAACTTGGAATATCCTGCAAGAGGATTATTTAAAAATATTTACAATAATTCTCAAGTTCTGTGACATTTCTGCCATTCCTTTTTTTTGGTTGTGTTGTTTTTTTTTTTTTTTTCCCCTCTTAGTTTCTCCAGGAAAATAAGTTGGGGGGAATAAAAGGTTTACATGGTGTATGCATAAGTATTGCCATGTTTTTAAGATGATGTACTGGAGGTGGCAGGGGCATAGGAATGCTTTATTGGTGACATACTTTTTCTATATCATTGTAATAGTTCCTTTGACTATCACAGTTCATAATCTAGTCCAAGCTGTTTAACTTAAAATAATTATTGTGTAGCAACAGTGAAAAAAATAGATTTAGTTTTGGAAGCTTCATAGCACATAAATTCATCAAAGTAAAGACCACTGAAATTAACTAGGGGCAATTTCCACTGCTTTTGTGATTTGGGCTCTAAATGTAATGAAGTTTTAAAATAAATTGTATTAATCTGTATCTGTTCCAAGTTGGGGAAGGAATCTTCTGGTAACATTTTACAGATACACCTTTTACAGTACATTTTACAGATAAGCTTCATATTTTGTCTTCTTTAGGAGTCATTGAAGCATTGTGCAAGTACTATCAGAGTGAGAACAAAGATGTGAGGCGTGTGTGGCTTTCAGCAGGAGTAGATCACTTCCACTCATCTTTGGGTGACAGAGGCTGGGGTTGTGGTTACAGGAATTTCCAAATGCTCCTTTCCTCACTGTTGCAAAACAGCTTCTACAACGACTGCCTGAGAGGTATTAAACAAAATGCTGCTTGTTCCACGTACCTTGGATGACAACCTGCTGACTGATGTTTTGCCTTTTCATTTACACAGCAAGTCTTACAAGGTCAATGATACCTATTAAATGGTGGTTACACCACTGGAACTTACTGTGGAAGTGTCAGAGGTGAATACTGGCAAGAAATGATGTGATTGAAGTTTTACCTTTAGTTTTTTTGGTGCATCTTTGTAACATCAAATGCCTGTTATAAAAGAAGCTGAATAGTTTTAATTAATAGACTATTTCAGTCACTGTAACAACAATTCAAAAGCTTTTCTGTTCCAGATACTACACTAATTCCTAGTATCCCAAAGATTCAGTCCATGATTGAAGATGCCTGGAGAGAAGGTTTTGATCCTCATGGGGCATCTCACTTCAACAACAGATTACATGATTCCAAAGCATGGATAGGAGCATGTGAAATTTATTCACTGTTAACCAGTCTCAGGATAAAGTAAATATTGCTTTTTGTTGTGGTTGTTATTATTAACTGCTGATTTAAGTGCTGTACCTTTAAAGGTTAGAATTCCCAACTGTGTGACGACAAAGCCACCTTAGTGACTAAATTTAACCATATATAAACAAATCAGATTTAATGCAGCATGAAGCTGTATAACTGCTTACAGGTACATGTAACTGCTTATAGGAGGTACATAAACTGAGTAACTGCTTCGATCATTGAGACTTGATGCTGAATTATGCCACATATGCATAAATTAAAACATTGGTGAAGAACATAATTTCTCTGAAAGTTTCTTTTCAAGAAGAATCTAAATTTCAGCTATTTTCTATGGCTTTTAATAGGATTCTATAGTGTATATGTATAACATATTAAAAAAGTAGCATTAATTTTTGCAAGTTTCACAAGTTCTTGTTAGACTGAACAGAGCAGATCACTTCTTTCTTATGTAATACATTTTCCAGTTTGTGACAGTATATGTTTCATTGCTTTGTAATTATGTGTCCCCTACTCCTGTATTGAAAAATAAGAAAGTTGTAAGGACCACTGGGTGCAGGAGGCAGGGACCCAGAGGTGAAAAGAAGCAACCTGCTTGAAGTTTTGTTGTTTTCATTTTCAATGTTTTGTAGGTGCCAAATCATTGACTTTCACAAACCCACTGGCCCTATGGGTACACACCCTCGCTTGTTTGAGTGGATTTTGCATTACTATTCTACAGATAATGAAGGTGGTGCAAAGGTGGTATGTACTTCCAAACCACCTATCTACTTGCAACATCAAGGTCAGTGTCACAATATGCTGGTTTCTTACTATTATCTATCTCTCTTTATAGGTACTGCAGTTCAGAGCAGCATTTTTTAGTCCTTCTTCGTTGAATTGAAGGCTTGGTTTTATTTCCTGTAATTTTCCTATTTAGTAAGAGCAACATTAAAGTTTGTATTTTTATTGGATGGAAGAGCTGAATGTGATTGGGATCTCAACTTTTTGACATGTAATCTTATAACTATCTTCTTAAATTTTGAGTAATGCCTTCCTTGATCTGAAAATTAGTCACTAGTTACAAGGTAGTAAATGGGATTTACGTGTTTCTAAACTACTGAAACTCTTGTTTTGATAATAGGCCACAGTCGTACTGTTGTTGGAATAGAAGAGAAGAAGAACAAAAGCTTATGTTTGCTACTGTTTGACCCAGGGTGTTCTTCCCAACAAATGCAGAAACTCCTGAAACAAAACAGTGATGGAAGTGGTCTCAGACTACTTCGGAAATTTGTGGGTAGCCTAAAAGAAAAGCAGTATCAGATAGTGGCGGTAGATGGGGTGCTCTCTTTGGAAGAGAAAGCTGTAAGTATCTCAGAAAACAGTTTCTGTTTGTGAAAATTTAGGACCATCTGCATCTCTTCTTTAAATGCATATGCATATATGGTTGCATGGTGGATTTTTTGCATCTTTTCACTTTCCTTGATCTTTTTCTCTTCTGCTTTCTGCTTATATAATCCTAGGATATCAAAACCAGTAACATTTTGCATATAAATGGATGTCACCTTGATCCAACTGACAACTTTTAGGTCTTGTATGAAGCTTTCAGCTGTTTGCAGATGTAAATTAGGCTTTTTTAAAATTTTCCATTTTCTTACAATGTTTTCTCCTAAATAACTGACTGTGAGCATGTAAGTTACTTACAAACACTCACAGTATAAAATTACGTTCAGAGGTTTGAGCTGTTGAAATTTTTATAAATCCTATCCATGTGTTTGACTTTGGGGCATTTTACCTTTTTTAAGGCCTTAGAAGTTTTCAGCAGATTGTCACATGTGTTTTTTGTTTCTTAAGCTTTTTCTTTCCTACACTAACAAATTTATTCTGAGGACCTATGTTCCAATTCTGTGGTGTCATATCAGCACTGTTCAGCATGTTCAAACTTCAGGACACACTTTCATTTAAACTATGAAATAACTGGCAACTGAATCACTTGCTCAGCTATATTTAATGTGTATGTTGAAATGAGGTATTGTCTTAAGTGTTTTCTGGCCCTGAACATGTCAGAAATATCAGTAAAGTATGAACATCCTCTCCTCCTACTGGAAAAAAAACCTTAAAATTCAGGACACGGTGTAAAAAAGGTGTTGTTTGGGATTTGGTGAGGGTGGTGGTGTTCATTTCATTTTGGTTTGCCACTTTTTTCTTCTTTTCAAAAATTTTATGTATATTTAAAAGTATCAGTTGTTCAGAGTGTTGTCTTGGAAGCTCCCATTTAAGTAAGATGGAATGTAACCCATAACACTCGTTAAGATTACTAAATGCTAATTTGGAAGAAGCTCTTTAAAGTGCTGCTTTTGTTCATTAAAGTATTTTCTTTTCCTCTCTCCCCACCTATTTTTAGGCTCGCTGCCGTGCTTCTCAGGTCTTAACATCAGAGAAGATTCCTTAAAGGGATACCTTTGTAACCTGCTTCTGGAACTTTCTGGGTGCAAAGCATTAAACTTCTGGACTGTGACCCTAACCCAACAATTTTTAGACTTAAATTGTGTCTCCATAAATGCTTGGGAGCTCTGGGAATGCACAACACTGGAGTAAACCTGTAGTTTTTGTATTCAGTCTGGCATCCTGATACAAATGTAACTCTGAAGTATTGCAGTTCTTATCTCATTAGAAAATGTGTTATTTTCTTAGTTGCTTAAAATTAGCAACACCTACTGTCTTGTAGCTAAATATGCACTGTTGGTAATGAGCAGTGGAGAAAAAGATACTGTGGAACTACTTCATTGGAGTTCCTGGTCATGGTTTGCCTCTAAATGTGTTTATGTTGCCACTGTGACCAGTCCTCTGTTTCTTCAGGGTTCAGTCTGTTGCACCAGGGATTAATTTACTAGTAAACGTCTCTTCAATTTGCTGGCTTCTCTAGATGTATCACTTGAATACATGTCCTTAGGAAGTGGATCAGTGTTGGCATTGGCTAAGAGGTCTAACAAAGCAGTGTCCAAAATACAGTGTGTGTGTTTTAGGTGCTGTGCAAGACAATTCTTTGGGGTAGAGGAAGAAAATATTCCTTTTGTACCATGAATGAATAAAATTAATATATTTTTTAAAAGTGTTTATTCTATCTTCACTTCATCCTTTTTTTTTTTTTTTCTGTTTTTTCTGTGTTTTATAATGTATACCCCAAAAGGACGCTGCGTTTTGACTAGTGCCTTTGTTGTGCCGGGTTAATGCCATTTAAGAGACTGGAGCTGTCTGCTGAAACAAATGTCTTGGGTGTTTGAGGCACTTTTCTGTACCTAGGATGTGCTGCTCTGGTTGAATGTGAGAGCCCTGCCCCTCCAGGAGGGGAGCTGAGGGCTGGGGGAGTGTGTTGCAGAGGTAGCACAGGGTGTTTTTGCTTTACCAGCTCTATCATGCATCCACCTATTGTAATTGGAGTTTAGATACATCCCTTTCATTTAGACTGCCTTCTATGCTGACACCTAAATACAAGTGTAAGAGCCTTAACTGCTTTCTCTCATGTTTCATGTGCTCTGGCAATAAGAATTTGTCATTTTTGGAAGCAGTGAAACGTGAACATATATAGATATTACAATCCATAAATCATTGATTTTTCTGAAGTATGCATAAAATTTTTGAAATAGTATGAAAATGCATTCGTTCAGTAGGTATATAGAAGTGGCCTTTAAGCTGTGAAAGGTTTAAATACTTAGGACACTAGAGGGGCTCAGACTAGGGAAGAGTTCCTGGGAACTGGGGGACTATCAGCTCCTGTGTCAGCCCTGGTCTGTGATGTAGGTGTCAAACAAATGGAAGGAAGGAAAGAAAAGGAGAGATGCCAATAATGTAGTCATAATTTGGATGCAAAATCCTAGGCTTTGCAGCATGCTTGAGATTTTACCCCCAGAGGCACCATCCTCTGAATTTTAACAGAGCTCTGGCAGCAACTACTCAAAACACCCAGCCTGTTCAAAACTAAATTTGCTCTGGTCAAGGTCCAGTATTGCAACTCACTATTGCCTCCATGCATTACAGTGCATGCTTTGGACTGAGGCAGTCAAAAACAGTATACAAGAAAGGTTGTCAGTACCAGGATTTTAAATTACTGTAATTGTGTTCAAGTTTATAAATGGGATTTTAGTCAGTTAATACGAATTAGTTTTCAATTTAATCCAAAGTAAATAAGCAAATTTAAATATCCCAGCTAAAAAACCCTTCTCTGTTCACTTTAGTAAACTAACATACACACACAGCCAAGCTTATTCTCAGTCAAATTCCCTTTTTATTTCACAGATATTAATTGCTAACAAAGCTAAACAAATCTGCAGTTCAGACTGAGTCGCTACAACTTCTTCCAAGGACCTGGAGGAACGGACTTTATGCAATTTCTTTGTCACTTCAACCCTTATTATTTCCTCAGCTTTGAAATGTAACAGCAAAAACACATTTTCACATTTTAACTTGTTTTACATAATTTTAACATTTTTTTAAGCTATACATTCTCTGCATGAAAACCAATAAATATGTTAGTGTGAAAACAGACTAGAAAACTTCATTATTCTAGAAATATAAGTCATGAGAAACTTTCATATGTAAGTGACTTATCAGTGATCCACTTGAAAAATTTTCTGATTATCACACTTGCACAGACTACGCAGGATCTTGGATTTGGTCCAAATTTAGAGAGCTCCAATTCACTCCTTTTATGAAAAAACAGCAGTTTTAAACATACATAGCTGGAAATGGAAAGCAGCCTTAGGATTAAATGGGGTTTTATGCAGCTGAATTGAGATATACCAGAAATAAGTTCAGTGCTGAAGAGCATTTTCAAGCATCCTAGCAATTACACAGGAAGCTGGATGTAGTAACTATGAAGCTTTCAATCCAACTGTCTCTTTGGAAAAGACAAGATTTAACATCACATTTGCTCACAATTTTTTTTAATATATCTGGTAACTCTGTTGAAGCACAGATCCTGCTTACTGCTTTGAAACATAAAACATTATCATTGAGACCTAGATGCTTATCTAGAGTTCATAGTAGCCAAAATTAAAAAGATCAAAGGGACGACTGTAGGAACAAAGGCACATGGTTAATTTATAAAAGTATTTACAGGGTACTTGAACATTTATTTCTATCTACTAGAAATTAATTTGCCTTGAATGAAAAAAAATAAAACCATATTAAAGGAGGTCATCCTAAACAGATGTTCTCGAGCGATATGAGCAGAGAATCTTATAACCATTAAATGAATTCCATAATTAAACTTCTCATATTGACTATGGAATTTTCAAATACCAAAATTCATAAATTTATTATTCCTCTAAGCAATGTGATACTTTAGTGCAACCCTCTTCAAAGATTGAAGCTGGCACAGTTAAGGCAGTCTACTAAAAGTGTTTAAAATTCAGCACACAGTGTTTAATCATTGAGGTGCCTGTCTCTCTGTTTGGAAAGCTGTCTTTTGACACCATCATCCTTCTAGCGCTGCAGTTTCAAACACAGCATGTTTAAACACTGCAGTTTTTGCAGTGTTTGGGCTTTTTGGAGGTGGTAAGTGAGGAGTCCAACAGCTGTTAGTTCCAGAAACAACTGTGAAGGATGAGCAACATCCCCAAGTTGATGTGTAGCTTTACTGCATTCTGTGCTAACCTTCACAGGCTGCCAACACAATGCTTCTAAAACTACACCATTTACATTCAAACCTATAGAGCACTCTGTAAACCCTGCTGCTGTAATGTGCACTCCACTCATAGTGTTTCAATACAGTCTGCTGCCAAAAGCAAACTAATTTTCCTAAGGTGGGTTTTGATTTTTCATAGAAATTCATTGAGGCACACATTCAAAAAAACCCCAAACGATCTCTGAATAAACCAACCAAACTTCAAGAGGCTTCACATTCTGATTTTTTTTTTTTCCCCTACTGACCTGATATCACCAGTTTGAAAATATTATTCATGACTATAGCAAAAAAATTCATTCTAATTGTATGGAAATGGTTTCCACTAGACTTTAATAAGGCTATACAACAAAGGTGACTAGTGCTGTCTATCTACAGCTGATAAATTGGGGCACCAGAACTGAATTATTTGAATATTTGAATTATTAAAAGATTCCACAGGAGGAACAAAAAAATAAATAACTGCATAGTATGTGATCCCTTTTATTCACCAAAGCTGCCCATGTTTATCCCAGGTGGAAGACAGCAGAAAAGCTGCTCAGCATTCAGATGCAGGTGTGTTTAGTGCTTGCTGTAACATCTTTCCATCTTGCATGTTGCCACATCTCTTCAAAGGACAATTACAGAAGTAGGGAGAAAAAAAATAAAGAAAATAGAAAAGCGTTTTCAGACAGATCAATATTTCTCAAATTTTTCATTTGAAATATTAAAGTAAATTTATTTATAGTGAAAGTCATCAGAAGACCATTCTCCTGGATTTAAAATATGTTGGTTTTTTCTTTGGAAAAAAATTAAGAAAAAAGGAAAACAATACACATTACTAAAACCACAGATGCTGTGGCTTTCCTGCCTGCCCCTCTCTCCTTACATATGTCCATACTGATGACAGAATCAGTTCAAATAAGTCTAATCACTATCTAAATTAACAGGGTTGTAGTCAGGGTCATCCTCTTCATCCTCCAACTCTAAATCATCCATTTCTTGGAATAAAGATTCATCAACCTCCACATTGTTTCCGGCTGTAAGGAACAGAAAGATACTTTAATTTCATGCAACAACGAAAACATGAACAACAACAAAACATACAAGATTTTTTCCTATTAGTTCCTCAGCGTAGGTAGCTGCTAGCGAACTTGGCTTTTATACATCAAACAGATATGGAAAAGTAAATGCTACATTTTATCTTTTTACAGCTGAAGTTTTTTTTCATTGTATCAAAACCCAGCCAAGAGAAATGTCACACAGAACTTCAGACGTCATTGGGAGCATGAAATTAACATTCACATTTGTCAGAAGCAGATTCTCTCTCCCCAGGAGAGCCAAAGCAGGAGCTCAGGACCTCACAGCTGGAATAATTACTACCATCCTAGTGAGATAAATGCACAGGGCTCATAAAAAATTCCTTACACACCATACACTGACATGCATGTATTTGCTTTCAGATTTAAATTTTAAAAGCAAGATGAAGCTTTGGCTACTTTCACATTTTCTTCTGAAAGAAATGCTGCTGACCTAAAGATAAAACTCGAGGACTGCTATTTTAATTTTATGTATCAACAGTGACATCTTCTGGTCACCAAATAAAGTTTCTTTTATTTCACTGGACTTGAAGGCACCTATACAAGATAACGCCATTATCCTCTGAAAATTAGTAGTACATGCTACTGTAATATTAAAACAGACTTAGTAACCTGTTGCATCTATGACAGAATGCAAGCAGCAATAAGAATGGGAGTTTTAATCACCAGTAGCAATAGGATTACAAATTAATACATTAATCCCAAATCATCTGGGCACAGAAACCAGGTAGAGGTATGTTCCTCCCCTGAGGAAGCCAAATGTGCCATCAACAAACCATCTTCACTTCAGGTATTTTGTAGGAAGACAAGATTAAATTATTCCCTGTTAAAGAAACTAAACTTCCCCATAACTACCATTTCAAGTTTACACTCACTGACATTCATAAACTTTCTTTTAATTGTTACTTGCAGAGAAGACTCTTGACCATCTTCTGCCTGTGTTTTGTGATACCAGTAGATAATGCAGGTGCATTAAAGAACTGTCTTGCCTCAGAACTCAGGTATTCTAAACTAGGACACTAAAAAACGATACAGCAAATCAAACAGGTATGTTACTGTGAGTATGCATGCTTTTATATGCTTTATCTCCAACTGGTTTTCCAAATTTAATATTTTTCTGGCACAGGCTTACAGAATTTTCATGTGGCACCAGGTGAGTATTTTAGGTAAGGTAAGAGGCCCATCTGCAGAAATCATGAAAAAGAACTGGATTGCACAGAAGCAAGTAACATTTATTTTTACCTGCAAGATGTTTACTATTGGTGTTGAGGTTCAGAGAAAAGGTGACAAAAGTTCAAGACCTATGCTTGAAGCCAGGGAAGGCTGGCTATTAGAAAAAAAAAATCAGGG